TCTCCAAAGAAGCAGGTCTATATTGGTATACTTTCAGAAAGCTTCCTCTAGCCAGTCTTAACAGGCTGTTAGATTTTCATGCTTTTCCTGGGTAATTCTTCTTAATCATAATTAACAGGCTTGTTTAGGTCTTTTTCCATTCCTGCCAAGAGGGCTTCTATCATCTGTGTCTGTTTTGTCATGCCTGCTTGATAGGGTTTTGTAGTCCCAGTTGGGGTCATTGGCTGGGCCAATTTCAGCCTTGGGGTAATTTCCAACTGGGGAGCGGGCGATGATTTAATCAGCTTCCCTGCAAGCTGTTTCAATAATTTGCTCTCTCTCCAGAGGGGTACAACACACTGTCGGAATAAGTGAGTGTTCCTCCAGGATAAGTCAAAGGACATCAACAAACTTGTCTGGGTTCTCAGAGTATTTTCCCAGGCTTTCTTTACATTGTTGGATGTCAATGACTGAGAAGGGGACCTGTACTCTTCATACTGTCTTTTTGGCCCTGGCCACTTCCCTAAGGAGCAGGTGGCCCTACTAGGAGTATGTTGTGAGCATAGGATATTCGGAGGAGAAGGCTGGTGAGCCATTTCTTCTGGTGAGTGATATGGAAGGGGTTGTTGGTGTTCCTTGAGAGACATGGGGGCAACTCAATAAAGGGTCATATTTGATGTAGGGGCAGAGGCTTCTCAGGATACTGGTAGATTTTTGTCTTTGCATAGTAAGGGGTTTTGGTATAGAGCCAGGAAGGCTTGGATGTATTGATTTTCTGATCATTTGCTTTGTCTTTTGAAAAACAGATCCAATTGATGGATAGTATAGTTTTAGCTATTGTTAATGGGCCACTATTTTAAATCTCCTAACTTACATTGGAGCCAAGTGGTATTGCAATAGAAGATGAGGTGTTTCTTCCTTAGGTCATCAGGATTGAAGAGGTCCCAGTGGTGGAGAATACAGCTGAGAGGGGATTCTTGTGGTATAGAAGTAGTTCCTCTCATGTTGTCTGTAAAAAAAAGGAAACCCTAAAGATCTAGGAACTAGATTCCAAAGAATCCCTTGGAGAAAAGAGGTATCTCTGGTTTAGACATTCCTGGGCATCCCTCTGAGGATCCTGGCTTAGGTGGCCATAGTGGACACCAGGGCCACTATTGAATGTTTCCTAGAGCATATTCCTTCTCTAATCCTATGAGTCCTTTCTGGCTCCTAAGTCCCTCATTGAGAAGATGGATGCCTCTGTAGACTGGCCTAACTGTAAAATACAGGAAGATAAGTGAATTTTAGTGCTGAAGCAAGGGTTAAGAAGCTGATACAAAGACCCCAGAAGAGTAAGGCCCAGTTTGTTTTTCTCTGGGGTGCTTTCTTTTTTAAAAATGTTTTATTTGTTCCTTTTAGTTATACATGACAGTAGAATATATTCTGACATACTATATATACATGGAGTATAACTTCCCATTTTTGTGGTTGTACATGATGTGGAGTAACACTGATCATGTATTCATATACAAACAAATGGAATTTATGTCAGATTCATTCCACTATTTTTCCTATTCCCATCCTCCCTCCATTCTCCCCACATCCCCCTGACAAATATGGTGAATCTCCACTCCTCCCTCTTCCCAGCCTATTGTGAGTCAGCATCTGCATATCAGAGAGAACATTCAGCCTTTGGTTTTTTGGATTGGCTTATTTCACTTAACATGATAGTCTCCAATCCCATCCATTTTCCTGGCAAATGCCATAATTTCATTCTTTAATCCATTCATCTTTTGAAGGACACTTAGGTTGGTTCCATAGCTTGGCTATTGTGAACTGAGCTGCTATAAACATTGATGTGGCCATGTCACTATAGTATGCTGATTTTAAGTCCTTTGGGCATATGCCAGGGAGTGGGATAACTGGGTCAAATGGTAGTTCCATTCCCAGTTTTCTGAGGAATCTCCATATTGTTTTCCAGAGTGGTTGCACCAATTTGCAATCCCACCAGCAAATGTTTGAGTGTACCTTTCCCCCCACATCTTTGCCAACACATTGTTACTTGTGTCTTGATAATTTCCATTCTTACTGGGGTGAGATGAAATCTCAGTATAATTTTAATTTGCATTTATTTAATTGATAGAGCTGTTGAACATTTTTTTTTTCACATATCTGTTGACCTATTTTATTTCTTCTTCTGTGAAGTGTCTGTTCAGTTCCTTTGCCCTTTTATTGATTGGATTATTTGACTTTTTTTTATGTGTGTTTTTTTGTGTTCTTTATATATTCTAGAGATTAATGCTTTATCTGAGGTGCAAGTAGCAAAGATTTTCTCCTGTTCTAAAGGCTCTCTGTTTATGTTCTTGATTGTTTCCTTTGCTGTGAAGAAGCTTTTAGTTTGATATCATCCCATTTATTGATTGTTGGTTTTACTTCTTATGCTTTAGTCTTGTTGAGGAATTCAGTTCCTAAGGTGACATGATGGAGATTCAGGCCTAGTTTTTCTTTCAGTAGGTGTAGGTTCTCTGGTCTAATGCATAGGTCCTTGATTCACTTTGAATTGAATTTTGTACAGGGTGAGAGGAGTTTAATTTCATTTTGTTACATATAAATTTCCAGTTTTCTCTAGAGTGCTTTCTTAACCTAAGGATGAGGTAGAATTTTTTTCCAAGGCTGGTGGTCAACATTAATGGTGGAAACTCCTGGAGTAGTGCCTGACTTTGGGCATCCTTATAACTACTTTCACAAGTCCAGTGAAATTTGGCCTCCTTACACAAAAGACTAAGAAACACCCAGCCTGCTTTATCAGCCAGGGACTGCTGGGATGTATTCCAGCAATCCAAATCCTGTTTCTACTTTTTCATCAAATTAAAATAAAAAAAGGAACAGCAATTTTCATCTGGTCTGGTCTGTGTTTTAGCACACGAGAAAGAAACCACCTCAGCCAGTAGGCCCCAACTATCCAACAGAAATAGTGAGGTGCTAATAGTGCAAAAGGGCCAACCTGTCTCCAGGAGGAGGTCTTGAGCACCATTTCAGGAGAGGAGGAATTGGTAGTTTTGAAGTAGAGGCATGCAGGAGGCAAGAGAAGGAAGAGTATGGAACCAGGGATGGGCTTAATGCCCACAATAGAAAGGGAAGTCTGACATGATTTGCCCTGGATGGCCACAGGGGTAGTTGGATTTTTTTTTTTTTTTTTTTTAACTATGTGCCCATGATGGTGAGTTTAGTCTTGAGTCTGGCAAAGGCTAATTCTAACTGTGGCTCACAACTATGTTATCCTGTCATTGGAATTTTCAAGTGGTAGGCACCTTACTGGCTCTTAACTGCCCATATGGTGCCCACTGAAAATGTGGACTTAGATTACTGGGAGAAACAGGTTAAGTAATATTAATTGACACATGCATACAAAAGTAKCGAGAAAAAGTAGACCATCTGCCCCATTGGGCAAATGACAGTCGAACTCCCTTTTCCCTGGATCTTTGAGTCTTCCCAGAGAGTCACCCTGGGATATCACAATTATCCAGGGGATGGGGTCTTCCATCCAAGGGTCTATCAGAATCTCAGGTTCTCCAACCTATTGGGTAAATATTTTTCACTGTCTTTGAAAGAAGTGCCTTATGATTGTCCTCAGGGGAAACTGTCAATAGCTCCTCAGTCCCAGTGTGCTACTATTGGAGATTCTCTGCAATTTGTATTTGGGGTAAAAATGGGAGTTCATAACCCAATTGAGTCAAATGTATGAAAGATGATATATCATGAGCTTTGTAATGTTTTGAACAACCAATAAAAAACTATTAAAAAAAGAAAAACAGATAAAGCAGAACAGTGAGGGCTTCAGGGGGCTTACCTTCTATCTGGCATGCCAAAAATGTCACCGGAGGAGAGTCAAGTCAATGTCCAAGTTCTTAGGGTCTGGAACAAAGAATTGAGCAAGACACATAGGAGAAGCAGCTAGATTTATTGAAAGTCAAAGTGCATTCCTCAAAACAAGCAGCAAAGTGGGAATGGCTCAAGGATCCTAGAGCAGAAGCCCACTGTCTTATATTAGCCTTCACTACGGGATTTCCAGAAAGTGTGGCACTTGGCTTCATTCCACTTCCCTTGGTCCTATTGATGTCCAGAACCGGAGTTCCCATAGCAACATGGGTGGTCCTATTGAGCACAGGGCGGGGTGGGGGTTACCATAGCAACGGTGGGTGGTCCACTTGAACCCAAGCGTGTGTGTGTGTGTGTGTGTGTGTGTGTGTGTTCCCATAGCAACTATGGGTGGTCCTGTTGAGCCCAGGGCGGGAGTTCTCTTGGCAACGTGGGTGACGCAAGCAGGTACATCGTCCGGTGACCCGGCCGACATCTTGGCATATTCCGCCATCTTGTCATCCTTAACTTCCTGCTTCGGTGGGGGAAGGGACGTGGGGAAAAGTGGAGTTCAGCGAAGATTTTTGTCTTTACGTGTAGGACTATTAGAGGAGGCGTAGGGGAGCCTTGCGGGGTATTCCCCGCCCCGGGGGAACGCGGCTGCGCCCTCGGAGGGCGCGCCGGCCCGCGCCAAGGCCCCTCTCCGAGGCTGCGGCGCTCCCCCCGGCCCGGGCCGCGGTCCTCCCGCCCCGGCGGAGCCGCGCGGTGGATTGTGGGCTGGGGGCTGCGGCGGCCTCGCGGCAGCCTCCGGCACGGTCTCCCCGGAGCCTGCCGGGCCGGGCCGGCGGGGTGAGGAGAAGCAGTGGAGCAGGGAGCAGAAGCGCCAGGGGCAGTGGTCGCTGCGCGGCGGCGGCGGCGGCGGCGGCTCCCCTGGAGGCCGGGGATGTGGGAGAGGCGGTGGCAGCAGCGGCGGAGGCGGCGCTGCGGACCCGGGGGAAACTGCTGGCTGACAGGACACCCGGGAGAGACGTGAGGGAGCCGCCGCTGCCGCCTCTTACCCCTGAGCGGAGCTGGGCTCGAGAGGGCGACCCTGTGCTCCCCTGGCCCGCGGGCCAGCCGGCGCGAGGCGGAGGCGGGAAGCCGGGCTCGGCCCGGCCAGGCTCCGGGCGGCGGCGGCCGCGGAGCAGCAGCCTCGGCGCGACGTGGAGGGCTGGAGGCGGCGGCGATGCACTAGGCCTCTCTCTGGGGCGGCTGCCCGGGACCGCAGGTAGGTGTCGGGCCAGTCCCCCGCTGCTCACTGCGCTCCGGGGCCCTGGCTCACCCCGACCTACTGCGGAGAGAGGGACCGAGACCCCACCCCCCCTGTCTCCTTCCTGGCCCGAAGCGGACATAGTTTCGGTCACAAGTGACCGGCGCCGAAGCTTCCATTCTCCTCTCCGCTACCTTCTTTTCCTTGTCACTCTCCCTTTGGGATACCGGCCCACTGCTCTGCTCCTCTGCTGTCGGCGGCCGCTGACGCCGGTCTCGCCCCTCGCCGGGATCCCGGCTCTGGAACTTCCATCACTCCTCTTGGATCCTGACCCCAAACTTTTCTTGTCTTCTTTCAGCCGGGCCCTTAACCCCTTTTGGAGCCTTTTGGGATAATTTTTATTAAATATTTTTCAATTTCCCCCCAGCTCTGGGAAAAACTAACCTAAAGAATAATTCGGTGTTTTGCAGTTAGGCAATTTAAGCTCGCAATAATTGGTTCAGTAGTTTTCTTCTGTTGTGCTTCCTTCTATATCTGCATGATACAAAGGTAGGCCATCCCTGTCCTCCCCTTGTCGTTTGGGAACTTTTGCCTGACCATTATAATTAGCTACTGCTCTGCCCATGTGTTGAGTTCAGGATGGTATTTTTAGAATTTTGGCCGACCAGAGTTGCAAAAAAATTTTTTTTGTTTTAAATTCTCTTTTAGCCAGCTTTATTTATTTATTTGTATTTTATAGAGGCTCCACTTTTGAAGAATTGTTCTAATTGGCTCTACTTCTGACTTGTCAAACCCAGGGCAGTCTTAAAAGTAAATGCTTACTTGGCAAATGATATCATATTAAATTATTTGTAGTATACAGATAATCATATTGTTATAACTTTAGCTGTAGATCTTGATGAACCTTCATTAATCTGATGGGGAGTTCTAATTGGGAAAGCACAAGTACCTTGAGAGCCTAATTGATTACTGAGCAGTTATGATAGAACAGATGGGATTTGTTTGACTCTATTTGTACTACAGTCAGAGTCTGATTTCCTAGAAATGGGTATTGGTGGTTCATAGTGATCATCATTGCTCCTGATAAGCTTAGACAGATCAATATATGTAATTGATAATTTTGGTTTTTGGTAGATGTTTGCAATTTTATTATTATTTGGCTATTTTAAAATCATATTCTGGTAATTTTAGAATCATTACATTACTAGTCCATTCACAATAAAACTGTAAAGACTATGCTTTGTTATTGATATTCATATATCTTGTTCCTGTAGAAGTATTGTTACTACTGCGTTTGACTTTCTGAAATGTTTTTCATTGTTTTCGAAATTGTCACTGGTAAGATCACCCAGTTTAAAGGAAAAGATGATTAAATTTGCATATAATTGTTTTCTTGAAAAGTTAAAATTTATTTCTGGATAAAATCATTAAATTTTTATGTCAGAATTRAAGTTAAATCTTATATAACCCATGAAATGGCAAACTGCAGAATTTGTTTTAATTACACTCCTTTTTCTATCAATAAAAGTTGATTAAAATTCCTTTTTTCTGCTCTTAGCTTTTTCTTCTTTTTTCCTTTTGGTCCTGGTGATTTATCCCAGGGCCTCACTCATGGTAGGCAAGTGCTCATAACTTTTTAAAAACAGCTTTTTTTTTTTTTTGAGTTATAATTAACAACATTCCATAAATACCCTTGTGTAAAATGTATTTCAGTGGGTTTTAGCATATTTACTGAGTTCTCTGACCGGCACTATAATAGAATTTTAGAAGATTTTCATTACCCCAAAAAGCCTTGTACCCATTAGCAATTACTCCCCATTCGTCCATATTACCTGCAGCTCTAGGCAATCACTAATCTACTTTTTATCTCAATATTTGCCTAATGGCATTAACTCAGAATTTCTTGAAAAGTTATGCTTTTAAAATCAATTTACTTGTTTTATTTATTTGGGTCAGGGAATAAACAACTGGTCACCCGATATTTAAAGGGATATTGTAAACAACAGATATACTGTTTGGTTAACGTAAGTACAAAATTTGGAGAAAGAAAAAAGCATCAATGGCTTCAGTGACCTGAAGAGTTAGTTGTGTCCACCAGGGCTAAGTCAAAGTTAGAGGAGGAGTTTTGCCACTGAATATTAGGATATCAAGTTGGAAAAAGGCCTTAAAAGTTAATCAGCTTCTTCCTGCTTACTTCACAAATGATTGGCAGAGACCATATTAGGAAATCTAAAAGGTAGAAGCTTGAATCTCTAGGATGCTGGCTTAAGAACCGCAATGTGGCCCTGAAAAACAAGAAATGGGGAGTGTGGTTGGGGGTGCGTTGGTTGTTAGAATTGTTTAGATTCTCATGTGTATTTGACATTTTGCTAGCAGAGCTTGGAAAGAACTTGGACATTCTTCCAACTTTGAGGACAAGGGGGTGACTAAAGTATCTCTGTAAATGAAATGTTTTACCTAAGCACAGCAAATATATTATTTAGATAGCTTCTTGTATTGTTAACATTTTTTAAAATCCAAATTTTAAAAAGAACTATTTTCTAAAAATTGTAATTAACAAATGATTGTAGCCTTCCTTTTTCAAAGATCCAGAGGTCTCCAAGGGCAGTTTTGCTTTCCAAGGGACTTTTGACAGTGTGTGGAGACATTTTTGGTTGTTAGAACTGAGGAGGGTACTGTTGGCATGTAGCCAGAGGTGTTGCTAGCTATTGTACACTAGTAAAAGACATACCTCATCCACACAACAAAGAATTATCTGACTCAAAATGTCAATAGTACTATTATAAATCTGTTGTTTGTATGATTCTGGTAAAGACTGGAGATGGTGTTCATGACCCTCACCTGGTAGAAAAATACTCTCCACTTAACACTTGAAATTTTCTAGCAACTCTGCTGGGAGGGAAAAGTAAAAGGGAGTCTATTAATGACATAAAGAATATATATATTCTTTACTTTGTAGTTGTCTTCAAATCKGAAGATAAATACTTTTCCCTCCCTTAATATGCAGCTTTATATTACATAGATTTGAATTATATTGATAGTTTTGAATTATTGGTTATTGTTGCATATGTTTTTAAAATTTGAAATAAACATGGTGTATCTTTAGCCACCATGTCCACTTGCAGCTTCAACTGCCAAGAAAGAAGTTAGCTAAGTGTTTTGATTAATTAATATATTTATGCTTGTACATATATATGTTATGAATATCCAGAAAAGTTCACACTTTATACTCAAATCTCATCTTATTTTCCCATTAGGCAATTGGCATTTTGTGCTTAGCATTTTGAGTTCATTTGATTAAAATACATAAAGTTAATCTCTTTATAGTTTTGATTCTTATTTAATGTGTTTTTGTGTGTGTGGCTGGGGATTGATCCCAGGGCCTTGTGCACGTGAGGCAAGCACTTTACTAACTGAGTTATATCCCCAGCCCCCCTATTTAATGTTTTTAACAAGTTAGTGGTGAAAAATGATCCACAATTGGGACCATTTTTGCTACTTAGTATCCATTTGACCTTAGAGAAGTCACAATCTTTCTGATCCATGGTTTCTCATCTGTAAAATAATGGTAGTAATGATTCCCGTATTACAAGGTTATTATAAGAATTAAATGAGTTAATGTGTATTAAGATGCTATGTCAACTATAATAACTACATAAGTGTTAGTTAATTGTTCAGAAGTATCAAATTAGAAAGCAATATAGAAGTTGCCAAAGATGGGAATTGAGAGATAGCAAGGCTGAGAACCATGACTGATGACAGGCCCTAAGAAGAAGAGAAATACTAAGTATATATTTCCATCTATCTATAATAAATTTATAGAAGAATTAGTATATCACCATGTACAAGTACAAATTGACTTAATACAAGTACAAACTGACTTCCTTCAGTAGCCCTTGAGGTTTTCATTCTTACAGTATAATAACTGATTAATATAATGGTGAAATTAAGTTCAAGAAAGTGTTACCTTGGCTGGGCATGGTGGTGCACACCTGTAATCCCAGCAACTCAGGAGGCAGAGGCAGGAAGACTACAAGTTCAAAGCCAGCCTCAGCAATTTAGCAAGCCCTTGAGCAATTTAGAGAGACCCTGCTCAAAACTTAACAAAAGAGCTGGGGATGTGGTGCTGTGGTTAAGCACCTCTGGATTCATTCCCCAGTACCAAAAAAAAGTGTGTGTGTGTGTGGGGGGGCGGCAGGGGGTTAACTTGTTTCAAAATATGTATTTGAGAAAACATTTTCATGTTTTTGAAATAAGTGTTTTATTTCAGATTTTCTTTTGGGAATTGACTTTTTACAAAAAAATTTACACTTTCCAAGAGTAAGCTATAGTTATTTAGATTACTTACTTTTTTGAGAATAATTCCTTTTGTCTGTATTTAGTATGCATAACTTCTTTTGCATTTGAAGGGTTATTTTGTAGCCAGTGATAATTGTTCCTTAAATGGGAGGGCTTAACTGAAGAAATAGGGGTTTTAAGCCTACTCATCATTTGTAAAATTCTCATCCTGTTCTAGGTTTGTTTCTTTTTCTATTATTTTCAACATCTTTTTATGCAGAGAGTTACTTTGATTTTTCTATATATCTAGTAGTCCATTGTGCTTAGCATTTTAGTTCATTTGATTAAAATACATAAAGTTAATCTCTTATAAAGTTTTGTTAGCTGGTCAACTTTCCTTAATCATACAAAAGTAAGGTATGGAARTAGATGAAGCTCTAACTAGTCAGTATGATTTTTCAGGGGGTAGCTTAAAGGTTATTAGCAGTAATATTCAGAGTAAGCCATGTGGTAGTATTAGTAAGAATATTTCTTAATACAATGGACTTTAAAAATTGAATTTTAGTAAATAGAATTAAATTTTCATAGCAAAAAAAATAATTATGTGAATTTGGATAATTTTGCATTCAAACAGTTGACTTTTTTTAACTCAAAGGACACTTAAGGAGCAGGTGTTTGCGTATGAATATTATGGCGATGCATGATATTTTATGAATTTCTTTTATAGAGTGAATGAAGTA